TAACTTTTAATAATGTTAAAAAAAATCATGAAAATAAGCATTTATCAAGCTGAACTATTTTGCTTATATACTGTAACAGAGAATGTTTACTTTAACTTTAAATACCCCCATTTCTCCCAAACGCCCGCAAAAAGGTAACTTAGCCCTTTCACTGCCAGAGGGTTATTGTTTCAATGATCACCTAATTGCCAGAGGGGTTTCTAAGAAATTACTGTATTATTAATTAATATAATTAGTTTTATTTGTTATTAGTATTATAATAATTATATATGTTTCCAAATCTGTGAGTATAATAATAATTATTGTCGATGGTATAATTTTCCTTATATGTATTATTATTTTATTATAATTATTATTAATTTATTATTATTACTATTATTATTATAGATTTTTTTTTTTTTAAAAATACTATTATTATTATAGAAACGACTAAAGCCGTCCATATGGCAAATACGCCGAAAATAACAGAGCCGGCATAAGCCGTCCCTATGGCAGTGAAAGGGTTAACTAGTAGTCATTTTTCGAATTTCTAAATGTTAAACGTATTTTAAATTGAACGACCGTATATATCGACCTATCTAAACCGTTGTACGTACATGAACCAAAATGTAATCTACATGAATTTGTATCTAAATATATGCCGTTTAACGGTGCCTGAATGCCGTTTAATATACACGAACAGTCATTTATTATTTCTAAATTTGTCGTGTTTATATTTTCAGAATGTTTTCAAATGTTGCTCACGCTCTAGGCGTGGACTCTGCGGAATTTATTGAGATGATGAAATCAGACGAGATTGAGACAGCTACACGCGCTGCCTGGAAATATTCATGTTCTCGTAAGTTTCTATGGAGACCCCCCCCCCCCCAAAAAAAAAAAAATATATATATATAAAAAAATAAAACAAAAATAAATTGCGTTCTTGGGTTTAGACTAGGCTGGATATCAAGCTGTCAAGTAATGTCTTCAAATAGGCTCTTGAGTGAAATAATCAGTAATTGTAAAATCACTTTTAATAGAAATGATTAATTTTACGAAAATGCATAATAATTCGTGATTCGTAAAATCGATTTTTGAAAACTCAAACTATATCACTATGGTAACTTATGAATTTGGAAGATTAGTGTATTTGAAAGACTAAAGTATGCTGGTCAGGCGAAATTGTTCCATCGTTACAAAACTTATAGATAGTGTCTATAAAAAGCCCGTCAAATGCTAGCTAATATAAACATTTTGTGCAAGATTGCAAAGTAATTACGAATATTCAATGACTGTATGACTTTGGTCTGAATATTACAACAATGTCATTTCAAAATTCGAAATGCATTCTTCTTAAAACAGTTCATAATTAAAAGTACATGTAATTGATGACTTGTCATGCCTTTATATGATTATATTACACGGTTACATCATATTTATCTTTATTATTTAGAATAAAATTTGGTATGCAAACAACAAGAAAATCAGATTTTTTCTCTAACATTTTTGCCTTTCCCGTTTAATCAAGATTACAAAAAAAACATCATTGTAGTAACATCGAGTTTTTGCAATTTCCAGTGTACATAAAAGGAACGAAAAAAATATGTTTATTAAAACAACTTATGTTTTTTCGAAATATGCAGGGGCAATAGCTGGTACCCCAACTTACCTTGTGAATGACGTCATTGTGGAAGCTGATCCATCTTGGACACTGAAAGACTGGCAACAAGTCATTGATCCATTACTTAAAGGTCGCACAAACAAGTCAAACAAGGTGAGTTCTTAACGGCTCGACAAAGTGATAGATCTTGTAAAATCTTAGTCGTTCAATAGATTAAAAATCGGTACGCAAAAGTGGCACATCCTGGGTCAGATTTGTCAATGTTTCTTTCTAGCTGGTTGTGTAGAAAAAAGTCAGTTCTGATATTTTTACACAAAAAAAACGGCGTCTCTTTGCAGGACGCGTCACATTTTGACGTAATGACATGGGTTTGTATGTATCGAAATCACTTTTTTTGTGATACATCATTTCACGATAAGTTTTTTTTAAAGATACAGCTATGGCAAAATCTGAACTGGCTCAGGCCTACAAGTTTGGTTTGTGAACCGGAAGTTGAAAGTTTTTAATGACCTGACTTCCCTTAAAAAATCATAATGATTATTCATAAGTTCCATTATTAAAATTCCTTTTACATGTAGATCTACAAGCGTTATTCTTCACTTAACGATTTATGACGGAAATTGACGAAAAGGAACGATATTCATATACTAAAGATCTATTACAGGACTGTCCAACTGACACGAAGAAATGCGAATATTTACCCGGAAAAGTGGAGTGCTGTACTAAAGGAGAAGCGTGTATTCCAAATGTCGGCTGCCGATGTTTTGAGAATTCGTGCTCAAACGGAAAACTGACGGAAATGTTTAAAATAAATCCCGTAAAAAATTAGAACTTTCTATTAATCTTCAAGTTAGAGAACTTAAATAGAAAAAATATAACGGAAATAAATCAGCAAATTTATATTAATTTTCTTGATTATTTACAAGTCCTGATCTTCAATACATAACCGCCTCTGTGGTCGAGGGGTTAGAGTAGATGACTTCATATCCAGATACCTCTCTTGCGTGACTACGATCCCCGGGAGATGCTTTGGTAGTTTAGCGCGAAGGAAGGTAGTCTAGTATTTCCAGGAACGATGGTTAGGAAACTACCCGCCTTTATGACCGAAAAACTGTTGGGAAAAGGAGTAAAATGAAACAAACAGCAAACAAACTTTCAATCCATTAATTTTTCATTCAAATGATAATAATAAATTTGTTATAATGTATACTAAAGAATGTGAATTAAAAGGGACCATGTTCATTCAAAAATGTTTTCGTCATTTTCGAGGTGACCTTTTTTTTTCAAAAAAAAAAAAAGGAAAAGAAAAAAAAGGTTAAAAACACCAGTAAAAACACAGGCAAAACAAAACAAAAATCAACCAAACAAATAAACAATGACAACAAAAGCAAGTACTCACTTATAATAGTTGAATACAAAGTTTCCAATTACATGAAGCCTTGAAAATTCCAACAGCTTTATTACAATTTTACATCCTAATCCAATCTCTACTAACGTAAAACATGTATTGTTGTAAGTGAATACTATAGATATACTGTCCAACGGATGCATCCTGATTTTCAAACAATTTTCCATAGTTTAGATTAATAAAATGCCAGATATGAAAAATATTTTGATATTGAAAACCAGTCCTCACTATTGTAAACATCAGCTACACGTTCATGAAACACTAACATTGTATATTTAACATAAACGTTTGTTTTCAAAATAAATCTATCTTCAAACCCCTCGCTAGGACGAATACTCCCAGGTAGTACCAACTGAACATCTTTGAATTTTAACATGGATAATTTTAGGTACCTATTTTTCTAGGTTTAGGATCAATTTTCTCCCCGTTCTGTAAATAATTGCTGAAAGCTCGATTGTACAAAAAAAAAAACAAAAGGGATATGATGACCAGAAACAAGTGTTTTTCAGTGTTGGAAATAATTTTTGCCGCTTTAGTTATTAAGTTTCCAGACACTGATTTTTTTCTTAATAAGAAAATGGAACCTTTCACAAATGGCCTAGGTTCACTGTTACTGTACATCTGGCAAGTAAAGCATGTCAGTTCACGCTTTCTAATTTCCTTTTCACACTGCATGGAGCCTTTTTTTATTCCTTTTGGCTATAAAACAAATCAAAAAGCAAAAACTACAGAAAAGACGGGAAAAGGAATGGATTTTACTTCGTGAAAAATGAACTTGTTTGGTGGAACAGTAATTAAATATCGTGACTTACTTGCCGTAAATTTTCAACATTTTGCCTATTGCTTGCCGGGGAAGTGGTCAATTGCATATTTTTAACACTGGTTTTATTTTGGTTGTTGCTGTTTTTTGTTGTTTTTTTTGTTTTTGAAAAGTACAATCATTTACATTTTTATTTTAAAATGTATTTGCGTAATGCATGAGGTAAGCAAGTATGCTATTTTTCTAAGGAAGTGTTTTTAGGGAAACATCCATGAAAGGAAAATAATGGTTATATGTAAGGTTTGAGGCATTTCAACAACGAATTGGTGGTTGCTTGGTAAAGGATGTAGACTTCGGACAATTTACTTCTTAAGAGTTTTGGGTTTCAATACTGTCATGCTTCATAAGGCAAAACATATTATATATTTATATGTTTTAAAATATACGTAGATATGCAGTCTTTAAAAAATATCATTGAACTTGTTCATACTGATATCATTTCAAGTGTATAACGCCATTTTCTTCATTAAGATTTATTTAGTTTGTCTTTTCCTCTCTTGATCTGAAAATGTGACACGAACTATAAAATGATAACAAATTGTACTGAAAAACAAGAGCCACCGCCGGGCAGGAAGAACGCTCACCGCCGGACAGGAACAACGCTCGACTTTTTACTTTTCTAAAAGCAAACAAAGAAATGTTTGAACAAATCTTAACATTTCCTCTTTATAATTTGAATAGGCCTGTCTTGTCACACTAGCTCTGTCAAAGTATTGATCCTTTCCATAAATAAATGCGGTGTTAGGCTGAGATGCAACTTAAAGCTGCATGCCTCCAGAGTCCAGATTCATGTTAATTCTCGTGTAAATTTTAGAAATGCAAAACAAGAGTAACATTTATCGTGTGAACAACTATTAAGATGGCATTGCCCGTCACAAAACCTTAAGGTGTAGATGCGTGGCAAGGAAGTTGGTCCCTAATGAAATTTTACCTCTACGAGTATGTGTGACCTTGACCTTGGTTGCAGGGACCTGAATTTTATGCGCAACACTCAGCCTCACAATGATGAACATTTGAGCCAAATTATATTAATATACACAATGCATGTATAGAAGTTTTGCTCTGGACAAACGTTTTTCCATTAACTATAAATGTGACCTTGTCCTTTGACATATAGAAGCACGTTGCATGTAATTGTTATGAAATCTATTAATAGTAACAAATTGCTGATAAGACAGGTAATTTGTGCATGGTTGAGCAGATAAAATATGAATCATAGTAATTTTGTATAAATAATTAAAAGTTATTTTTCATGAAACAGTTTTATATTCTAAATCATTATATAGAAATATCTGTCAACTCAAATTACACATAAACAATGAATTTTCAAAACCTTTTCCTTTTTTTTCTTTATCTATCTATCTTCCATTAATGTCAAACCCCTCGCGGGGACTTAGTCATGATTAGATAGGAAACACTGAAAGTGTCTCTGAAAAATCCCAGGGTGTTACCCAGGATCGAACCTGGGTCCTCAGGAGTGACAGCCAGTTGTCTATTATGCCACCTAGTGTTTAACTATTTGCTAGAAACTATTGAAAATACAGTTTTAAAATAGCCAGTCTTTCTTTTTTGTGAAAGCAAATCATGAAAATCCGCTTCCAAAATAGGAATTTACAGAACTTTTGAATGGTAAAATAATCTAAAAAATCGATCCACAAATAAGCAAGACGGCCAAATGGCCCTAAATTGCTCAGCTGACCCATCAAACTCAGCCGAGCAATTACCTAGACAAGCATCCTGACCAAGTTTCACGACAGTCAAAAATGTGACCTCTAGAATGTTAACAAGGTTTTTCCATACTTGAGCAGTGTGACCTAATTTTTGACCCCAGGTGACCCATATTCGAGCTTGTCCTAGATATCATCAAAACAAACTTTCAGAGCAATTTCCAGGATATTTGGATCAAAACAGTAGCCACTAGAGTGTAAGCAAGATTTTTCTATTTTTAGCTCCTGTGATCTAGGACAGGACATAAGTGGACACCACCCGCCCGCCTGTGGCATTCCCATAATATGACCTGTTTTCAAACAAAATATGACTTGTTTTTCAAACAGGCACAAAAAAGGTAATTTACACATTACAAATGTCACTTACAATCCACCTTAATTACCCATAAACGGTCAAAATGTGCTCAAATACCGTACCCAAAATTGCATTGGTCACACGGTAAAAGTATTGTGATTAATCAGTCATTAATTTCTTATGAAAATTATTACAATGTACTTAAATCTGAATACTTTACTTTTTTAAAGTCTTAGTACATTTTTCTCAAAGATGATTTTCTTTAAATATTTTGGCTCATCTGCAGCTTGCAGCTTTAACATAAACTTTTGTTTTTTTCAAAATATACTCTGTCATTTTTTGTCTCCAACTTTTTTTCTCGTAAAACAAGCAATTATCATAGTATAGCAAGCAATCCATAAGTCCCCTACCAGTTAGAGCCCCAGCAACATTCTGATGGGCAATCGATCATTGAATTATGTCACTGAATGACTGACATGACATGAGTAACCTATTCTTTAGAGTTCTTAGTTTGTCTGTATCAAAGTAATGTTTTAAGTTTCCCTTATTGTGTTTATAGAACAGATAATCAAAAGATCCAATTTTCTCAGGATGAATATACATGTATAACTGATGTTTCAACATTCTCTTTTTTAAATAAATTTGATGGAAAAGTTCCAATGTCTCTAAAAGTGACCTCAGGAAACAATTTTTAGAAATGGACAGACAGACAAACTGACAGAGACACTGAGGGTAAATCTTTAAACAGCCTGGGTTGTTACCAGAATATAACATTTTTAAAAGGAAAATTCTTAAACTAAGAGGAGATAACTCATAAAATAAAGATGCTAGACTTATGAACACTGTCATATTTGATGTGAGTGTAACAAAGAACAAAAATCTAAAGTTTAAAGAAGATACCATTAAAAAACAACAATTTTCAAATATACCATTTACAGCAACAAGGAAGAAAATTAAAAGAAAAATTAAAGTAAATGTCAAGTTGAAATGAAAATAATCATGGAAACTTATGTCTTATAAATCTAATCACATATGAAGTAGGTCTTGATAATGAATGTCTTTTTTAAAATTGATGTTAATTCATGGAGAAATAAGAAAGTTAAAGAAAGAGTAAGGAAAATTCAAAGTTTAAGGGGAGATAATTCTGGAAATATGGATGCTAGATTTATAACTATATCCATGGAGATTAATAGTAAAAATTGTGTATATGTCTGTGCCATATCATATCATTATAATGTGGTAGTAAGTAGTAATTCCTATAAGAAATGAAATATAATAATTTCTAGAAAAAAAATCTAAGTTAAAGAGAGACATAATTCTGAAAATAGTCAACCTAGAGTAGTGAACCTTCTCCCAAATGACTTGAGTAATAATAAGATAATATACAGGATATGAAGTTTATAGTAGACACATAATGAAATAAAGAAGTTATAAACAAAAACATCATTTTTTTCATGAAAATTGTAAGTTCAAGGGGGGTAATTCTGATAATTTTTGTGCTAGAGTTGTAAACCTTGTCACATATGATGAGGTTGATGATCAGAAACTTATATTTGAAGTTTGAAGGAAAATATAAAATATCTTAAGAAATAAAAAATTTATAGTGAAAAAGCATAAAAACTTGAATCAGAAATATTGACGAGGTCACCG